AAATCGATGACACAATCCGATTTTTGCTCGGCGCGATTTTGTTTTTCTCTGTAAATCGTAGTTTGAATAAGCTGTAGCAGTTTAACGTCTGTGACGTAGAGGAGCATAAACGGCCACAGGGTACCCTGGATGTTTGATCCGTTTCTGATGAATCATCGGTGGTTGCTCATAAAAAGCTCATCTTCTAACTGTGATTCCATCTGTGTGATAATATTTTTCCATTAATGTTTTATTTTAAATGTTCAGTATGAGTAAGCCCATGCACGAAGGTGCGGTTTGTGCATTTACTTTCCACTTGATGTTGATCACACTTTTTCTTTTTCTTTATTTTTTTTCTTTTTCCTTTCTTGCTGGTGTCATAAAGCTCCGTTACACACCCTGTGTATTTCCAGGATCTGGTAATCTGGAAAAATCTTAATATGAAGGTCAAATTCTGGCAGGCTTCATTAAATTTACTAAAGTTAATGTAGAAACAAAACAGCTGATTGTGAGAAGTTTTTGTTTTATTAAATTTTTTTTTTTTTGTTATACAAGTAACAACTCTGTCGGACTGCGTTTTGGCACATTTTCACTTTTTTCCTTTCTTAGTCTGAATTTTCTATTTCTTGTAAGCTTTTATTTTTTTTAATTTTTTTAAACCTCTTTCTTAAGAACAAATTTCCACTGGTTGACAATCCTCAACTTAAACTTCATGCATTTCTTTGTCTGTCTGTGTAGAGGGGGAGCGCCTCGACGCCAAGATGAAGCGCTTGGAGGCCAAATACACGGCGCTGCATATGGTTCCCCTGATAGAACGCCTCGGCACACCACAGGTAAGAGCCGTCGGATGGTGTGTTCACTTTCCCTCGGGTTAGTTATGTAAATACAAATGCTGGAGTGTTTCAGGGCCAATTCAAAACCAGCTGATGTTTGTCTCTAACAACCAATGAGGAAACTACTTTCTTCTCAGTACAGCTGAGAGCTGGAGTTAAAACATCTTCAGAACTTAAATAAATTCTCCAGGAGGACTTCATGAACAAATTTGCTGCCATATAAATGTGTTTCATCGTGTGGACTTTATCCTGAGGATGACATCAGGCAATAAACCAACTTATTTTGTTTCCCTCTGAACACACCATTAAGACAGAGATAAGCTATAGTTGCTCCTGTGTCATGTGACACTTATGGAGGATGCTGACCGGTAGACGATCTTTTGAATGCTTTTACTTCTCTTTCAGCAAATAGCCATCGCTCGTGAGGGCGACCTATTGACCAAAGAGCGCCTCTGTTGCGGTCTGTCCATGTTTGAGGTTATCCTCACACGTGTGCGAGGCTTCCTGGAGGACCCTGTGTGGCGTGGGCCGTTGCCCAGCAACGGCGTGATGCACGTGGACGAGTGTGTGGAGTTCCACCGCCTCTGGAGCGCCATGCAGTTTGTGTACTGCATTCCTGTGGGAGCCCACGAGTTCACAGTGGAGTGAGTGTGGCCGAACACAAACACGCACACGCTTCCTCTCACCTAATATTTACTGACACACCCTCTTCCTGTCCTCCAGGCAGTGCTTTGGAGACGGCCTCCACTGGGCAGGCTGCATGATCATCGCCCTGCTGGGACAGCAGAGACGCTTTGACATCCTTGACTTCAGCTACCACCTCCTCAAGGTGCAGAAGCACGACGGGAAGGATGAGATCATCAAGAGCGTGGTGAGTTTGAAAGACATGAGCACGGCTGTTAAATACAGCATACATAAGGTGCAGATTTAACGCATCATCCCTCACCTGACGTCCCCGAGCATCTCCACCAGTTACTGCATCCAAAATAATGAGCACACCATCTCAAATAGCAAATGTACCAAGAATAGAAGTAAAGACCTGCGTATGTCTTCAATTCAGTTAGATTTTTTTATTCATTTTTAATTATTATTTTTGACACACATCAAGAAAATGTGATTGACTTTTCTGCTTCATGCCATAACCTGCTGATATGATTTGAAACCTCAACAACAGGCTGTTAAACGCACGGCTGAACTCTGAACATTAGATAATAAAATCTGCTGATGGCGCCTTGCGTAACGTGACGTGCAAAGTTAATAAAGATTACGACCCGTATGGAATTTATCAAGGTGAGTTTAGGTTCACATGACTTCTGTTTGTTGTCGTTTTGTAGCCTTTAGGGTGTTGATAATGATGTAATCTGGCTTCAGTCACACCAGATCATATGAGACTCAGATTTAAAAAGCTATATTCCTTTTTTAACCTCTGTAAATAAGTGATACTTTTCTATAAATACTTTGTAAAAAACCACAGTAAGAACTGGTAATGAAGCATGAAAGATGAGCTTGATGAGTTTCAGATCCTCCACCTCTAATTTTTGTCGTGGAGCAGCCAATAACGTCGCAGCGTTTAAAGTCACTAAACAAGATCCGTCTCAGGTGTGAGACTGCAACAGTTAAAATAACTTCGTACATTACTGAGAGCAAACCACACTGAACTGTTGTTTTTGTTTTCTAATGCTGTGTTTCTACTTTGAGTCCAAAATTATGAATTATTAATTTCACTGCTAACAGAAAGCTAAATACAGCTCAGCGTGCAGCTGCAGACGTCCGTCCTTCTGCTTCATGAGCACAAGCGTGTCGGCGATCACAAGAGCGGCTTCAGGTGTTCATTTTCTTCAGTTTTGCAGCACTCTGGTCCTTGCGGAGGCAGCGCAGGGAAGTTGAAATCAGAACTCGGATTTCTGTCAAAAAAAAATACTTGAATAATTTATGTTGAAATCTGTTACTGAGTGTATCCCCTCAGAATGTAGCAAAGAGCACAAAAGGCTTCAGCGTGACCCACTGAATCATAAATGGACTGTTTTTTGTTTTTTTTGGGGGGGTTTTTTTCCCTCACGGACTATGAAAGAGTTTTGAATCAGTTGGGAGTGAAGTGTAGGACGATGAAAGAGAAATGGGCGTGATGGTTCTGTTTGCTAGGAGCTTACCTGCCTCTCAGGAATTTTTGTTGCGTTTTGTTTTCCGTGATTGTTGATGAACTCTTTGTTGAGTATTGTGCGTTGGCAACACTGACCCAGCAACATTGTGATGCATTCATGGGCAGATAAGTAGGTCACTGAGAACCAAACCCACAGGTTTCACTGAGTACATGGGGGGGGGGAGGGAAAGCTAATCAGCATGGCTGCACATGAAAACACAGAATGAGGTTCTGAAGTCGTCAGATAGTCGCTGCAGGTAACCCTCCGCGATGTTACACTCTTCAGCGTTTGTGTGGATTAAGCAGATGAGTTTGTTTTAGAACTGCCGGGAGCTGGATTTAACCTTGAAATGAGCCTGGCTAACTGTCCCGTTTTCTTGGTGCTCAGCTCACATCTCCCAGCTGGATCCTCAGATTTAACTGAAACACTGTTAAAGTTCATAATAAGCTGTTTTATACACAATTGCATACAATTTCCTGTTCTTCCACTGCCATTTGGAAACACCAAATATCAAACAGGCTCTTATAGCTCCTCCCCCTTTATGGGAGCTTTTTATAATTGGCTGTCCCAGATAAACAGAAGGTTTAAACAGCAGGTCAGCGGGGCTTTTCTGTAGTTCCACAGAAATAAATCCTAAAGCCCAAGAAAGAGTTGGCATTTTTTCCTGAAGTTGCTCATTCAGAACATCCTCATGTTCTACAACAAGCCACTAAATGAGACTGCAGAAGATGTCAGGCAAACTCCAACCCACCAAATGCACAAGCTCAGAGGCATTGATGGCCACCACGATTGCAATGTTTATGTCTGAAGTTCAGTTTTTTGGGGTTTTTTTTATGCAACTGATGCAAATGCTCTTGAGAAACTGCAGAGAAAAGTTATCTGGCTAAAACGTATCACAAACTGTTATTTCCTGTGATGATCCAAAAGCCCGTAGGGGGGGTTAAGAAAAATAATGTTGGGAATTATTGTGTTGTCAACTTCAGGGCTGACCTACTATAAATACACCCTGCTCTCTCTGTGACCTCAGAATGGAGAGTTGGAAAAACTGTGTAACACTGAGCGTTTAGCACAGTCTGAGCTGTTGGCTTTATGTGCTATTAGAAACTGTGGCCACGTTTAAAATAGACGTTCACCAGTGAAATAGGATCTGACATAAAAGCAGCAACGTGATTAAGTGGGACCTGTTCTGAGCTCATTCCCGTGTTTGTCTCCCTTTCAGCCTCTAAAGAAGATGGTGGACAGAATCCGTAGATTCCAAGTCCTCAACAACGAGATCTTCGCCATCCTGAACAAGTACATGAAGTCTGGCGACGGCGAGAACATGCCGGTCGAGCACGTCCGATGCTTCCAGCCTCCGATACACCAGTCGCTCGCCAGCAGCTGAGGCGGCCGTCAACACTGTGGACCAGCGTGAAGTTTCAAACACTGTCCGCATCACCACGAATATCGCCCTTTAGGTCTGAGGACCATCATGTGTCAGAAGTTGGGCCACTTTTTCTTTTTTGTATTCATTTGTGCCTTATCAGAAAAGAATATTTCCCCTTTTTGGATATTCTTTGTTTTATACTTGCAGACAGAAGTAGATCAGAGAGAGGAAGTAGTTTTTATCTGACGTATTTAAGGGTTTGCGGTGGCGGGTGTTTGTGAGGGTGAGCATTAATCTATTTTAAGTGTGGGTGATGGTAAATTTATATTTTCTACACTGTTCAACTTGCATGCTAAACATTTTAAGTGGAACTGAAGTAACAGAGCTCAAGCTCATGTTCAGCATTTATTCACTGTGCCTTATGTTTTAATCATTTAATTCAATAAATATGTAACAAATGTTGGTTTGTGTCAAGCTTTTAATGTAAAAACTGCAAAGAAAAAGTTCAGAACTCCCAACATTAACTGCCGTTACCTTCAAGTATGACGACAACTCAAATCATAGAACGTCCTATCAAATGTAGTCATTGTCAGCAGGACTTCATAAAGTATATATTTATATTTATATATATATATATTAAAACTTCATCTGATTCATAGAAAGGAAGTCAGTGCATGAAGGTGCATGTCCATAAAACCTTTTTATAAAACGTATTTACAGCGCTACACCGGAATGAAATTAAGTTTAACTAGAGATGAATATGAGCCATATTCCAAGAAAAGTAAGGCAAATTAAAACATTAACTACAATCCACTGGTCTGTTCACGCCCCGGATCGCTGATTGTCTCATTCTCGCGCTCCACGTCTACATCAGAGCCGCGGCCGAGTCTTCTGGAATAGGGAGGTCCTTAGTGATCCAGCAAGGACGTCATCGTGCCATTCCTTCTGGAGACGCTATCGAAATGCGAAGCAGTGTCTCGCTCCTCCATGTCTCCGACCGACTTCTCGTCCAGCAGTTCGTAGGCGGTGTGAGATGCTATGCCGTTGGCTGTGGGAAACGCTCGTTCTTCCTTCCGCATGGACACCGCGAGCGTGGCCAGGCTCACGCTAACGTCTTTAAAGGCGTGGAGCAGGAAGATGCCCACGATGATTGTGAGGAAGCCACTGAGTGTACCGATGACATCGTCCGCTCCCATGTGCTCCCACTCTTTGAAGAGGATGGCAGAGCAGGTGAGCACGGACGTGGTGAAGAACACGTAGTAGATTGGCGTTACCAGGGAGGTGTTGAAAATGTCCAGAGCTTTGTTCAGGTAGTTGATCTGCGTGCTCACACAGCCCACTAGACCCAGGAGCAGGATCCACGCCAGCGGGTTTTTCACCACGCTCGTCCCGGCGATCGCTTCCTTGATGGCGATGCCCAGTCCTTTCACACAGGACACAGAGAGTGCTCCGATTACCGAGCAGATGGTGATGTAGACTAGGATGTTGGTCTGGCCGTGGCGGGGACCCACAACAAATATGAAGATGAGTGCAACGATGATGACGAGGGTGGCAAAGACAAGGAACCCTGAGAAAGAAAAGGAGAAGAGGTGGGACGGGGAGCATTTCAAGAAAATAAGCATCTGCAAACCATCACTATTCTCAGCATCCTTCACTTCAATAAATCCAATCTTTTCTAATTCCGGGTTGCAGGGGGCTGATCCCAGCTGCCATAATGTGTACACCTAGGCCAGGTTGCCACTCTGTCACTGGACTAATGGAGAGACAACAATTTACACTCACATTCACACATAGGGGCAATTTAGAATCATTAACCCAACCCCACCGAGTACCCAGAGAGAACCCACGCACACACAGGGAGAACATACAAACGTTTAACAGTTAAAATTAATGTAGCCCTTCCAACTTTAACGTGTGACACACAAATCTTTTTTTTTTACTTCCAGAGAGCAGGAGTCTGTTTTGTGAGGTTTTTTTCACATCGTCTTTGAGCTAAAACAAATCGACTGAAGCAGAATGACACAAGTTTAGCTTTTCAAAACCATAGAAACAGATTTATTTCCCTCATATTTTGCATATTAACACATTTGTTCATATGAGAGTAGTTAGATAACTAAAAGTACTCGCAGAAAGAAACATCTTAACCAGCTGAAAGAAAGAGATTACATTATTGTTTCAGTTATTTAAGTTTTTCCATGACCTGTTATTCTCACATGACTCTTAAGTCAGGAAGTGTTAGATTTGTATTATAAAGATTGGATCTTGCTCCTGACCAAATATTCTCCACATTCAAATAATCAGAAAGAGTAATGCTAACAATGAAACTAACAGTGGATACTAAATACTTTTTTGCTTCAGATGTGAACTTTGTATTACAACAACAGAAAGTGACTCAAACAATTCCTGAGTTATCGCAGGTAAATTCCAGCTTCCATTTCCTGTCTGATGGAAATGAAAATATTCCAAATATACAGTGGGGCAAAAAAGTATTTAGTCAGCCACCGATTGTGCAAGTTCCCCCACTTAAAATGATGACAGAGGTCAGTAATTTGCACC